GTAACACTGGAAGCACTGTGCTGGGTGCCGAGACTGTAGAGATGAGTGAAACAAGACCCCTGCCCTCCGGGGGCTCAGAGACCATGGGGAAGCAGAAATTAGCCAGCCACAGTCAAGAAGGCTCCCATGTGCTCAGAGGGCCTCAGTAAGCACAAGGGACCGGGGCCTTGGGGAACTGGGCGAGATCATGGAAAGCTTCATGGTGGGGGTGAGTCCTTCATGAGGCTGTAAGGGTGGGCAGAAGTTGGGGAGTCCTGGAGGACAACCGTGTTTAGGGGAGCCTTCCAAGGCCCCTGCTGCCAGTGAGAGCACCTCTGCTGTCTCGCAGTGTTGAGGGGCAGAGCGGAGGGGAGGTTTCCCCCAGGGGCTAGGAGCTCAGGCCGGCAAGGCGGGGGAGGACGCTTCAGACGGAGGGGACCGCTTGTCCAAGAACACAGAGGTCCAGCTGGGAGGTGGGCTGGGGCAGTCCAGGCGGTTTTCTTAGACGCTAACATGTTTGGAGGACTTGGACCTGTGTGATGGGGAACCAGTGGATGGGCTCAGGGATGAGGTCAGATAGGATATGAGAAAGTTCGTCTTCTAGGGGACTGGGTAAGAAGGGATGGACAAAGTTGCTTTAAAAAAAAAATTGAGGGGGTAATCAGACTGTGGACCTACTCTGAAATTTACTTACAAGTTAAGGAGACAAATTGTCCCCATGTCCAATACAGAGCCTTCTAGAATCTGCAAGGAAGCATTAGAGCATAGCACACAGTATCACCTGTCATACCCAGAGACAGTTCCTGGAGGGGAGGGAGGGGTCTGCCAGCCCTGAGCACTCAAACCCAGTGCTGAAATCCAGCTTGCTGGCCCTCCTGGAGCCTCAGTCTAATGAGGAGACAGAATCCAGGATGGTGGAGCCTCAGTCTAATGAGGAGACAGAATCCAGGATGGTGTTAATACATGCTGAGACCAGGGGTAGCATCAGAATCAGAGCAGACTTAGCGGTTCTGGACCCCACGTGTTCAAAGGAGAGGAGAGTCAGCTTCTACCCAAATACCTCTGGGTTCAGGGGGCCGGTCCCCACCTCTGGCTGCTGTTATTTGCCCACTGTCTTCAGCCAGGCTCACCCAGCAAGAATTTAAGAATTTAAAGTAAGGATTTTTACTCCAGTATTCTTGCCCAGAGAATCCCAAACACGACTGAATGACAGAGCACCCACCTGTGTGTGTTAGTCACTCAGTTGTGTCTGACTCTTTGTGATCCTATGGACTGTAGCCCGCTAGGCTTCTCCGTTCTTGGAATTCTCCAGGCAAGAATACTGGAGTGGATTGCCATTTCCTCCTCCAGGGGAACTTCCTGATTCAGGGATCAAACCCACATCCCCTACATCTCCTACACTGGCAGGCAAATTCTTTACCACTGCATCACCTGGGAAGGAGGGAATAAATGACCCTCAGGTAGTGGAGGCAGAACTTGCTGGAGAGGAAGCTTCTCTTGCCTAATGGGAGCCCCTGGTTCCTCCCACCGGAGGCCTCCTCCCAGCTCCTCCTCTTCCCTTCTCCCAGCATCTCACCTCTCTCCGGGATTTGAGATGTTCTGTTGTCTCCCTGAGAAGCAGCTGCTCCAACAGACTCCCTTTCCGTTTGGAATGGTCCAGACATGCTCCATGTAGCTCTAGGCTAATACTGCTGCCACCCCACTTCAAAGTCTTTTTTTGTTGTTGGTGGTGTGGGAGGGGGGCGATTGTTGTTCAGTTGTTAAGCTGTGTCCCGACTATTTGCAATCCCATGGACTGCAGCATGCCAGGCTTCCCTGTCCTTCACCAACTCCCAGAGCTTATTCAAACTCATGTCCATTGAATCGGTGATGCCATCCAAGGTGATGTCCTCTGTCATCCCCTTCTCCTCTTCTGTCATCCCCTTCTCCTCCCGCCTTCAATCTTTCCCAGCCTCAGGGGCTTTTCCAATGAGTCAGTTCTTCGAATCAGGTGGCCAAAGTACTGGAGTTTCAGCATCAGCATCAGTCCTTCCAATGAATATTTGGGGTTGATTTCCTTTAGGATTGACTTGGGGGAGGCGGATACAATTCCCTCTTCCCACTGGGTCTCCTCACTGTCTCTAAGGAACATAAAAGTCAGTGCTTTCTTGGCACTGTCTCCCACAGCCTGGCTGAGGGTGAATCTGGTCTGCACTGTGCTGGGGTATGGGGATATAAAGGCAGGTCAAATAGAGTCCGCACCAAGCAGGGAGACAAAGAAGCAGGGGCAGAGTCTGGCCTTGGCACACGTTACCGCGTGGACACAGGGGTTATAAGAGCCCAGGGACTCAGAGCAGGGCTATGCAGCGGAGGCGGGTGGTGAACCTCTAGACCCTCCCCACCGGCAGGGCTCCATCAATCCATTTGTCATTGTCCCTTCAACCTTGGTTGTCCCAGAGTCGCCTTCGGGACAGAACTCGAGAAGGAGGAGAGGACTTGAGGACAGGGTAACCCCCTCCGGGTGGATCTGTCTTCCTAGCCACTCGCAGCTCTTGGGGTTACACTTTCCAGAAGGGGTCCGACGGAAGGTGTGACCTTGGCCAAGTCCCGTGCGCTTCTCCGGCCCCAGTTCCCTTTGGGGTACCCTGGACAGCTTGGGGGCGGTTTGGCTTTCCTTAGCAGAGGGATCCGGAAGGTGGTCCGGGTACGGGGCGGGGTTGGCGGCGGTGAGGGCTGCGGCGGGCCAGGCGTCCCGGACTTGAGCGAAACTCCGTGGGCGGCGGGAACCCAAGCCTCGGGAGAGCGGGGCCTAGGAGAGTGGAGTGCCCTGGGCTGGGTGGGCGCGGTGGGGACTCGGACGGCGGACGGCTCCCCCAGCCCTGGCCAGGCGCCCGTCTTCCCCTCGGCCGGGCCACCGGCTGTCCCGCGGCCGCCTTGCGCTGACTTCTGCGCCTGGCATCTCCCCGGACCACTTTCCCAACTCCGTCTCCCCCAGACCCGTACCAGTGGCTCGGCAGCAGCCCGAGCTGCCCTCTCCCACTCTGCCCCAGATCCCTTCCCGCCGTGTCTGCGCCCCAACCCGCCACGGTTTGCTATCGGAGACCCTCCGGGAAGGCAGAGAGGCCAGGATGTGGACCCCCAGCTCCACTCTCCTCCACCAGCAACCTCCCGGCACAGGCTTTGACTCATAGCCCCAGGGACCCTGCGGTGGCAGCTTGCTGTCCTTCCTCCTGACCTCCCAGAGGGAACCTGAGAGCCACATCGGCTCCCCAGCCCCAAGGCAAAAACGTAAAAGGCTCCCTGTTCCTGTGGAAGCAGGCAGCACCCCCACACACGCACACACACTCATCTGACACCCCCAGTTTGATTCCCTTGGTGGTCAACAAGCACCAGAGCTCATACTGGGATGCTCAGAGACACCTTGGCCTCCCCACGCCCTAGGAGAGCTGACCCTGGGGGACCCCTACAGCCCCTCTCTGCCTTAACTGCCTCTAAGCTCCTGGGCTGGGGTCTGTGTCAGCCTGCCTTAGGAGAGGGGAGTTGTCCAGAAATGCTGTGAGATGCTCGAACAGAGAGGAGGTGCAGGCTTGGGTGGCCTGTCATGTGCCAGGGGGCTGTGTTTTCCCGTGACCTCCCACTCTTACCCCTAGACCTGAAGCTTTGGGGAGGGGGCCTGTACAGGCCTTGAAGTTTGTCCCAGGTGGGAGGCAGGAGGAGGGGTCTTGGGTGAGGGCCGACTCCACCCCTGGCTGAGAATCCAGATGTGGACAGATGCGTCTCCCAGCTAAGGTGCCAGCCCTTCTTCAGCCCCCGTGTTTTTCCCAGACATTCCCTCCCTCTCCCTGTCCGCCAGCCCAACTCCTGTCCTTGCCGCACAGTGGCTTCCCTGGTGTGCCTGGGATCTTTCCGGAGCCAGGACTGCAGACTGCTCTGGCTCACCTTTACCTCCTCCCCCTCCTCCTCCTCCTCGGACTGGGACAGGGTCGGGGCGGGAGGCTCTGGTGCCTGGTCCCATCCTGCTCCAGGCCAAGTTTGCAGATTAAGCAAAAAGGAGAGGTTGTGAAGGCCTCCTGTCTTCTCCCCAAAGCTCCTTTGCCCAGAGGAGTGGGGCTTCTTGAACCCCCTCTCTTCTGATCCCCTCATTCCTCAGCCCTTGGCTAAGGGTAAAAGCCCAATATTCTGGGGCCATATCTCTAGTCCTGGGGACACAGAGAAGGGCGGGGTGAGCCAGGCTCCGAGCAGAGAAGGGGAGTTTCAGGGGGTGCCCCTGCTTTGAGCATTGCTGGCCCGCGGAGGTCTGAGTGACAAGCTTGGAGGTCAGACTGCAGTAATTGCGACACAACTCATCCTGCGTGTAAGACTCTATAAACACTGGTGGATTTTGCCTTCTATTTTCTGTTCATGAGATCAGCAAGACTAGGTTGCTCCCTCATGTCCCTGCTGGGGGGATAAATCTCCCCAGGAGAAAAGGAGAGTTCCCTGTATAAAGTGAATCCAGCAGACCAGCAACAGAGAGGAGAAAGGGGTGCAGGGCTGGGCTGGTGCCTAATACCTGCCTATCCAGGCAGGACCAAAGGGAAAACCAAGTGAGCTACCCACAGTCAGGCTGGCCAGGCTGGAGGGGGTACAGGCAGGGGAGGTGGCCGAATTGACCTCTGAAGAAGGGGACCTAGGCCACTCCATTGTTGCTGGGAAGGACCACCCCCCTCCCTTATTCCTTTCCTCCCTAAGACCCCTGTGAGGGAGCTGGTCTACTGAGGGCAAGCCTTTGACACCCAAAATTAGAGCCAGCCAAGACTGGTTCAGATATTCCTGACCATTGCACACCAAACCTCAGTTTCTTCATCTGTAAATAAGGATCACGAGCCCCATCACGTGGGAATTCTGGAGCAGATTGAGACACTGGCATCCCACGATGGCAGCTTTAGTCACTCAGAGGTTCTGACCTGCTTGTCCTCGGCCATCTGGAAGCCTTCTCCAGGGTGGTGGAAGAGGGCTGGGGGTGGGGGCCCCTCTAGTGAAGGGTGGAGGGAGTCCGGGGGATGCCGCGGTCAGCGTGCAAATTCGTTCTTGAGCTGGACTCCCTCCCAGACACAGACTCCGGTGGAGGTCAGAGCAGGAGATACCAAGAAACCACATCCTGCCCTCGGATGCCTGGCTCTGAGGAGAAGTAGGCTCTTCCTTAGCGGCAGGCTGCCTCTGAGTAGGTTCCTCCCTGTGTGTGAGAGATAAGGAGATACAGAGATACGCAGAAACAGAGAAGGAGACAGAGAGACATAAAGAGAGAGGGACGGGGGGAAAGGGGTTGTACGAACCCCTGTTTCTCCTCTGCACCCATCCGTGACCTTCTGTGACTTCCTGCCTGCGAGTTCCTGTGTCTGAAACATCTCAGCGTGTCATTGGGTATCTGCCAGTGTGTGTGTGACTCCAAGTGTGATACTGCATCTATGGGAAGGGATGTGTGTGTGTGTGTGTGTGTGTGAGGCAGAGAGAGACCTCTTAGAGTGTGAATGGGTGTCTGTCAGTGTGTGTCCATGTGTGGGTGAGAAATAGTGTGCTTGTGACAGAACGTGTGACTCTTTCTCTGTATCTGTGTTTGCGACAGTGTGACTTGAGTATGTGTCAGCCAAGGGGTCTCTGTGTGTGAACCTGACAGTCTGTGTGCTCATGTGTGGGAGCGAGACTCCGAGTCATGTCTTAGTGTATGTAAGCATGTGCTCCACGGCATGTGTGATGATGTGTGTGACAGTGTGGCCCTGGGAGGAGTGTGTGCATGTGAGAATGTGTGTATGGTCTTCCTTTCCCTGCCCTTCTGCTCTTGCATCTGGAGTCTTTAAGGAAAAAGAAATGGGGCCAAGAGCGCAGGGGCCAGCAGCCCCATCCCTGCAGGTCTCAGAGGCCGTCGGTGATGGCTGAGCTCTGGAAGTTGGGCAGAGAAGATGAGGCTGGGGGTCCTGCCTTGGGGAAGATGCAGGACTGCACCAGTTGGTAGACCCCAGAGCTTCTTTTTCCTCTCCCATTTCCCCCACTTCAGTGGCCTCTCTTTCCTCCTTCCCTTCAGTCAAAGAAGGTTCCTGGAGAAGGAAAGAATCTGATGCACTTATTCACACTGAGACATGAAGCTGTAGGAGGAATTAGCAGGTTAGCAGCCAGTGTTTGGAGGTGTGCCCTCCCAGGGTGTTGGAAAGCCCCTCACCTCGAGAGCAACCACTTGCTCCACATCCTTCTCTCCCTGCTCTTCCTCCTTAGAACACTGCCCATTCATACAGGGCTGCATGACTCCTAAAGTTTTTCACTACTTTATCTTGCTGGGACTGTCCTGGAATTCTTAGAGAAGAGTGATGTGCCCATTTTACAGATGAGGAATTGAGGCCCCAGAAGGTTAAAATTTGTCCCATCAGTCCCACATTGACAGACAACTGGGATTTATGCCCAGGACCTGTGACTCTCTATCCAGTGCTCTCTCCTGCCCATCTCTCTCCCTCCTGGCCTCTTCTTTCTTACCTTCTCCTTCCTCCCCAAACTCTTGAATCTCAGAGATGCCCCCTCCTTACTGTGACCTCCACCTCAGGCATTGCCCCCAATTGCCTTTGCCCCCATGTAGAGAGTGCCCATAACACCTGGTGAGTCCTGGTTCTAAAAACTGCCAGCCTGCCCTCACCCAGGCCCATCAAGTGCCCCGATCTCCAGCCAGCTCTGCAGCCTGTGAGGGGCAGGGCTTCTGTCACTGCATCCTCTCCACCACCCAGCCCCTCCTCTCCAGGCCTGGGGCAGGACCTCACATCACGGCGGAGGGGTGGGGGATGAGATGGGTCAGGGGGGGCGGTGGGCAGGGCCTGGCCCCTCCTCACAGGTTTCTGCTTGGTGGAAGGCACGGAGGCTTTGCTATTGACTATGTTTGCAGCTGGAAGATGCCACGAATTAAGCTGAATGATCGGTCCTTGGCATGAAAATATGTTTGTTTGCTCCTGCCAGGAGTTTGTTGATCCTAGAAATGAAGGAGGGGTAGGACCCTGACTCCCCAGGAAGCCTGGCTATCCAGACTGCGCTTTGCTCTCCCATCAACAGCAGAAATCCAGGACAGCTGTTGTTGACTGAGTTTTCCACGTACGGGGCCCTTTAGCATCAACTCACTTAATGCTCATGGGGAGGGAGGGACTATGGTTGTTCCCAGTCTGTGCAGGTGTGAGCTCAGGCTGGAAGTTAAAACTCTTGGCCAATGTCAGAAAATCAATATATGAGAGAGCCAGGGTCAGGCCTGGCTCTGCGCCCAAAGCCAGGGCTATTCACGCATCTCCGTGTAACCGTGCTCCCCTGGGCCCCTGGGCCTGGCCGCATCGAGTAACCTCAGCCTTGTTCCAGGCCAGAGCCTCCCAGCTGCCCCGGGGCCTGAGAAGACGCTCCTGAGCAGCGGTCCGCAGCTGTCCTCGGCTTGCTCACTGGGGCTGTAGTGTCCCCACCTCTGCCTCTTCGTTCCGGCCAGAACCCCTGCTGAAATGCCCACCCTCTGCCCTTGCTGGGCCCAATCTCTCCCCACAGATCCCCTGCTTAACCCCCGCTCACAGCCCCCAGAGGCCCCCCTGTCCGCCCAGAACTCTTGCGTCTGCGCCAAGTTCTGCCCCAACCTGAGCACTGTCACCTGCCTTCTCTGCTGTGCCCTGAAGAGCATTTGTCCCCAGCCCACCCCGAGGAGCCTGGGGATTCTCTCAGGCGGGGGCCCTGCCCGCATCTTTGTGTTCCCGTGTCCCTCCGTCAGTCCCGCCACCCAGAGCCTGGCACAGTATTGCTTCCATAAACACCAGGTGGGGACAGGCCAGCCGTCTGGTAGTTTGTGTGTTTGACTGGGGGAGAGGTGGGGCGGAAGTGAGCAGTATTTGGAGAACTTCACCTGGTGCAGGAAGATGGCAGGGGAACCCTGTTGTCAGGAAGTTTTCTATCTGAGGGGAGACAGCCCCGTCCTCAGGGAGTCCCATTCTGAGGGGAGACACAGCCCTGCCTCAGGGAGCCCCAGTCTGAGGGGAGACACAGACCAGCCCTCAGGGAGCCCCAGTCTGAGGGGAGACACAGCCCTGCCTCAGGGAGCCCCAGTCTGAGGGGAGACACAGCCCAGCCCTCAGGGAGCCCCAGTCTGAGGGGAGACATGGCCCTGCCTCAGGGAGCCCCAGTCTGAGGGGAGACACAGCCTCCCCTGTGTCTCCCTGTCCTCCTCCTATCCTCCGGGAGCCCCAGTCTGAAGATAGTTTCTCGTCCAAAGCTCTGCTCAGAGCAAGTGACAGGGCTTCCTCTACCTCCACGTCCCCTGGAGGTTGGTGGCCAGCCTGGCCGTCCTGGTGTTGTCCTTACCCTTTAACCCCACTCCCCACCTCTACCCCCAGACTTCTGGCTTCTGAGCTTTCTCGTTCTCGCTCCCTGCCCCTGACACACCTTCTGCCCCAGTTCCCAGCAGTGACCTTGCTTCCCGCCTGCTTTCCTCCTGGAAAGAGAGATGGAGTGGGATTTCTTCCCAGTCTCCCTGCCCCAACCACAAGCAGCTGCCATTTTCAGGGGCAGAGGAGAAGGAAAGCGAGTCTGGGGGTCTGATCCACCAGGACTGGCTTTAGTGAAAACTGTCTGGAGCCCTCAATTGTAGCTAAAATCATGATACTGCCTTTGCTATTGGGTTTGATTTCTGTTTGATTTTTTTTTAATTTATTTAACAAATACACTTGACCTTTGCCCTCAGAAGTGGACTGTCTCTTAGGTATCTCCACCTGTGGTGTCAGCACACTTACTCTAAGAGTGAGGCTGGGACTCAAGCAAGCTTGTTTCCCCCCTTCCTCAGGGCTTCCTGTGCGGCCAGGGATGAGCCCAAGACAACCTGAGCCTTTATGGGAAGCATCTCATAAACCAGCGGTCCCCAACCTCTTTGGTACCAGGAACTGATTTTGTGGAAGATAGTTTTACCATGGTAGGGGGATGGTTTGGGGATGATTCAAGCTTCCCAGATGGCGCTAGTGGTAAAGAACCTGCCTGCCAATGCAGAAGGTATAAGAGATTGGAGTTCAATCCCTGGGTTGGAAAGGTTCCCCTGGAGAAGGGCATGGCAACCCACTCCAGGATTCTTGCCTGGAGTAATCCCATGGACAGAGGAACTTGTCCATAGGGTGGCAAAGAGTCAGACATGACTGAAGCGACTTAGCACACCCACAAGCGCATTATATTTATTGTGCACTTTATTTTCATTATTATTACATTAACTCCACCTCAGATCATCAGGCATTAGAGCTCAGAAATTGGGGATCCCTGTTACAAACCACAAGTCAGCTTAAATGTGGGTAAGATTACCCAGACACCAGATTCAGTGTGTTTAGAGCACCACCAGTGAAGGATGCAAGCTCCCAAAGGAAGCTGTTTTAATTTCAGCACAAATGCTAATTTTTATGATTTCAAAAAGTGAAATTTTGTTTTAAATTATGTATAGGTCCTAAATTTTATCCAAGGGGCTCCCTGGTCATTTGTGTGTCTGCAGCCTCTAAGTGAGGAATATTTAGAATCTTAAGCCTGTTCAGGAAAAAATACAAATTAAAAAGAAACATAGTCCCAAGACATATGTAAAGGAGGTACACTACAGTGTCTGGGAATGGATCATTCTCTCTTGGGTGCATCTGCATGGGTCTGTGCTAAAAGCCAGTTGTGTTACCTGATCTGAAAGTGGAGCTTCTTATCCCCCTGCTCAGAGATAGGGGGCCCCTCCCAATGCAGGCCTGATTTCTGTGTTCTGGAACTTTTCTGACCCCTTCACCCCATGTCCTCAAGACTTCTCCTCCAGTTGACAGAGCTGGGCTGATGTTTGACCCATGTTGTGCTAGAAGGGGACGGTGCAGGGTTGTGTTGACCTCCCAGATAACATGATTGCATTTTGTAGGAGGGACACCAGAGCAGTGGTCCCCAACCTTTTTGGCACAAGGGACTGGTTTTGTGGAAGACAGTTTTTCCATGGACTGGGGGTGAGGGGGACGGTTTCAGGATGATTCAAGCGTGTTATAATTACTGTGCACTTTATTTCTGTTATTACATCAGGTCCACCTCAGATCATCAGGCGTTGGGTCAGGGGACCCCTGTGGTAGTGGGAAATAGTACCAAGGTCTGCAGTGTTGAATCCCACTGCAGCCGACATCCTCCACTGCTCCAACAGTCACTAATCTGGGAGACTCCAGGTCCTAGCCTTAGCCCTGCTCCTTGGAGCGCTGTGTGACCTTGACTGAGCCCCTCTCCCACTCTGCGCCTGCATGTCCCCTTCTAGAATGATGGGTGAAAGTGTGAAAACCTCACCGGCAGGTGGACTGGGCACTGGAAAGGAGCCCGTGGCAGTCACGAACCCCAGGGCCCTCAGAAAATCTCTGCTGGGTGGGGGCAGATGAAGCCATGAATGAGACACACACGCTCTCCCCTCCCCGTCCTCCACTCACCCCAACAGCATCCTTTCAGTAGCCATGGGTTGGACATTTACTACACCTCAAGGTATGCTCGGAGAAGACACTGGAGACCCGCTCCGGTGCTCTTGCCTGGAGAATCCCAGGGACAGGGGAGCCTGGTAGACTGCAGTCCATGAGGTCGCTAAGAGTCAGACACAAGTGAGGAATTCACTTTCACTTTTCACTTTCATGCATTGGAGAAGGAAATGGCAGCCCACTCCAGTGTTCTTGCCTGGAGAATCGCAGGGATGGGGGAGCCTGGTGGGCTTCTGTCTATGGGGTCGCACAGAGTCGGACATGACTGAAGCGACTCAGCAGCAGCAGCAGCAGCAGCAGGGTATGCTCTGGGAGGCATAAAGATGTGAAAACATCCCCTGGAGCCCCTCACTGGGTTGTCATCCCCTTGCAAAGATGGCCAAAGCCTGTGGGGTTTGGGGCTCTAAGGTCCCCTAGAGAGCAAGAAACCAAGTGTATAGAGGCAGAGGGTAAAAGAGACTTGAATTGGACCCAAGGGGCCCCTTTCTCTTTCTTTGCCCCAGGGTGCCACCGTGTCCCTCTCGGAGACTGTGCAGAAATGGCGAGAGTACCGACGCCAGTGCCAGCACTTCCTGACCGAGACCCCGCCCCCAGCCACAGGTGAGATCAGGCGGGGCCCCCACCCAGCCAGCTCCCCAGAGCCTTTGGAGGCCCCCCAAGCTGGCTTGGCATCCCTTGCCTCTCTAGGACCCACATCTGCCCTAGGCCTTGGGGTGTAGCCTTGTAGCCGCTGTACCCTCCTCGCCGGGGCCCCTAGGAGCTGACACTGGGCCATTCCGTTCTGTGTCCTCAGCGCTTCCCGGCTTGTGCCCGGGCTGGAGGCCCAACTCACGTACTTACAGTCATGAACATTTAGGGGGTTCGTTTGGGATGTGTTAAAGAATAGAGGGTTGAAGCCAGACAGGCCTCTGTTCCTGACCTGCCGGCCTGATCCAGTCACCTGAGGAAGCGATCTTGGGCTGGAGAGGTAGTGAGGTACCATCGCGGTCATAGGAGGTGTGGGATTTCAGAAAAGGCCATGAAGATTGTTTATTAAGCACTTACTGTGCTCTGATATCTATGCTGCCTACGCCATTTGTCCCTGCACAGCCCTGCGGGCTGGGAAGTCAACCCCGTTTTACAGATGAGAAAAACAGAGTCCTTAAGTCCTTGGCTCCAAGTCCCGCTGCTGCTAAGTGGTGCCTGGGCAGGGAGCTTTCTGCTGGGTAGCCTCCCCAGTGGAGAGGGGGAAAGCGGAAAGCACCCCAGCCAGGCTCGGACTCAGACGCCTTCCCCCTGCACCAGACCTCTTCTGCAACCGGACCTTCGATGACTATGCCTGCTGGCCGGATGGGTCCCCAGGCTCCTTCGTGAACGTCAGCTGCCCCTGGTACCTACCCTGGGCCAACAGTGGTGAGTCCCCTTCCCCACATGGACCTCCCCTCCCCGGTGTCCAGGAAGCTAGGGTGGGGGTGGAGTTGGCATAGGGTGCTTGCTGCTTCCTTTCCACTGAGACACAGTCTCCCCACTCCTGGAGGTTTTTAGGCTTCCTCGTGGTGGTCTGCCTACCTTTCCTTGGGAGTGGGGAGCGGTAGGGGGTGGTATCAAGTATAACCTGGGCCTGAGGCTTGTACTGGCAAGTGTCTATAGGGAAAACATGGGGTCTGACTTAAGAAAGAAATGTGAGCACCCCCTTGCATCTAATAATCAGGAAAGGAATCAGGCAGGAACAGTTCCTGGGGACTTGGGGTGGGGTGGTTTGAGGTGTCATTGCTGTGTGTGTGTGCATGCACCCACTTCCCTGGTGGCTCGGATGGTAAAGAATCTGCCTGCAATGCAGGAGACGCAGTTTCAGTCCCTGGGTTGGGAAGATCCCCTGGAGAAGGAAATGGCAATCCACTCCTGTCTTCTCACCTGGAAAATCCCATGGACAGAGGGGCCTGGCAGGCTACAGCTCATGGAGTTGCAAAGAGTCGGACATGACTGAGTGACTAACGCTTACGTGGTCGTGCCCTGGAGCCACCACCTGACTTCTCAAGGGGTTCACTGCTCAGAGGAGCCCAGGCAGCGGTGATAGGCCTTAGTGGGATTGTCCTCCAGCCCTCCCCCCTCACTCCTGGCTGTAGGGGACACCTTGTGGTGGGAAGGGTGTAGGTGAGAGGGGCTTTGGGGCGCAGAGAGCTAGAGAGACTGCAGAGGGCGCTCTGACTGGAGGGGGAGACCGTGTGGCCCCCTGCCTGCCCGTGTGTCCCAGGAGACAGGCCCCCTTGCCTCAGAGAGCTCACAGTCTCAGGAAGGGAGAAAAGATCCTGTCTTATAATAATGATGCTGATTCAGTGCCTGCTATGTGCGCCATCCTGCCCTAAAAAGCAAGCATTCATGTAATCTTTGCAACAACCCTGCAGTATGCTTGTAATACAGATAGGGGAACTGAGTCCCCAGAAAGTTCACGCTGCTCACTGTAGATGATGTGGTCGATGGCAAGGCCAGGATTTGAAGGCAGCCTGTGCTGTTAATGACAGTGCATCGAAGGGGCCTGAGACCGAGCAAAAACTGGCCCAGAAGCAGGTGTGAGAGGGAGGTCATGCTGTGGGAAGCCAGTGGGCTTCCTGGAGGAGGCAGCTGCTTAGTGGAACATCAGGGCACTTGGCAGGGCCTGGCGTCAGCTTCAGCTCAGAACACAGGATGGAGGTCAGACAAAGCCCCGGCTGGAGTCCTGAGGACTCTCTCTGCTGCTGTCCCCTCCTGGTACGCCCACCCCACCCCGAGGTGCATGCTGAGGCAGGCAGCTGGGTGAGGCAGAGCGCCCAGTGCCCTTCATGCAGCTCTTCCACAGCCTCTGTAAGCACTTTATGTGCCTACGCTCATTTAATCCTCACAACCACCTTTCGGGGCTCCGAGTACTCCAAGAATACCTCGTCTAGTACTCCGATGACCCTCCCCTCTTACAGAGGAGGAAACTGAGGCCCAGAGATGCTAAATGACTTTTCCAAGCCCTCACAGTGAGTGAATAGCAGAGCCATGAATCGGCCCAGGAGTCTGGTTCAGATCAAGCATGTGTCATTTCTGCACAAGGCTTCCTCCAGTGCGTGAGCACATGTGTGATCCTGTGCACAGCGGTCTGGGCATGGAGACAGGGGAGCGACCTGGGCCTCTGTTGGCTGGACCACCCCAAGGGAGGGCAGTGAGTGTTGGCCTTCTCCCTGGAAATGAAATCTTATGGTTCTACCTCACACTGTTGCAGGTGGCTGTGTGAGCTTGACTGAACTTCTAGACCTCTCTGTGCCTCTGGACATCATGTAGGAGGGGGGATATAGCCAGGTGATGGGGGTGTTGGGAGGATTTCAAATTCCCAAAAAATGGTTTCTGTGAACTTTTTCCACCCACCTGACTTGTCTTCCCTGCTTCCCTCAATACACACAGGTTCCCAGCTCCCCCAAGGTTTGGGACTGGCTGGCTGGCTGGCCCTCTAGACCCCGGGGAGCCAGGCGCAGGACAGGGCCCATCACTCAGCTCTAAGGCACCACCAGCTCTGCCTGCTGCTCGTGGCTCCATCCATCACCTTTAATTTTATTTGAGCAGGAAATAGGTCCTGGTGGTGCCCATTTATGAGTGAACATGGTTTTATTGCTTTCTCCATGAAGATAACAGCCGCTGCACAGGCCCCCTGCCAGCTTCCACCCCCCGCTCCCCGCCTCACTCCCTTTTTTGACCAAGCTAGCTTGCTCCTTTTTTTGACACTTGGGATCACAGAGTCTGCCTCCCTCTCCCCTCTCTCTGAGTCAGGGACCCACAGAGATACCCACCCTGGGCTCCTGCACCATGATTGCTGTCTCTGGCCTGTCCTGGCTGTCCCCTTGGCAGAAGCTGGCACCAGGGGCTTCCCTCACCCCCTCCCAGGGCAGGGGGCGGAGGAAGGGGAAAATTCTGAGACTTTCTTGGGCTAATCAAGGGAGTGCCCTAACTGAAAATGTCATAGTGGGAATTAGGAGTGTGAAGAAGAAAGAGGGACAGGTCTTGGTCAATGTCCTGGGAGAAAACGCACTCAGCTGGGAATCTCAAAAGAACCTGATGGAGGGACCACTTCAGAGGTTGGTCTGGGTTAACCTGGTGGCTCAGCGGTAAAGAATCTGCCTGTAATGCAGGAGACACAGGTTCAATCCCTGGATCAGAAAGATCCCCTGGCGGAGGGCATGGCAGTCCACTCCAGTATTCTTGCCTAGGAAACCCCATGGACAGAGGAGCCTGGCAGGCTATACAGTTCATGGTGTTGCAGAGTCAGGCACAACTTAGCGATTAAACAACAATAAGGTATATAAAGCATCAAGGACTATAAGAGTGGGAAGCTTTAGTATCCCTAGGTCCCAGTGGGGCAGGAACAGGGCTGTGGTGCCCTCATGACAGCTGGAGGTCATGGTGATGGAGAGGGCACCAGTAGGACAGGGCCATGGTCGCAGAGGGGCAAAAACCACTGCCAGAACCTCAGAATCAAGGCAAAAAGGGAGCAAGGGAGAAATACCCCAGCCTGTCTTTCCAACTGTACTACCTCCTGCCCATGCCTCCCATTAGCTAAACCCAGCAGAGGGCCGGGAGCGCAAGTGATACTGTCCATAGGGGTCAGCCTTCTGGGGCGCAGGGCAGGGCAGAGGAATGAATGACTCGAGAAAGAATTAAATTCGAAACACTTACCCAGGGCAGGTCTGTGTTAAGAGCTGGGGATGTCAGTGAGACCTTAGAGGTGTGTGAGTGTGTGGGCTTTGGGGAAAAGGGGCGACTTTCCCACGGGGCTTGAAGAGGTTGCTCGGGAGCCTGGGAAGTGGTGTCAAGGGAGGTCAGAGCCACCTCTTCTGCCTGGGATGTGGCATTAGGAAGGCTTCCAGAGGGAGATGTCATTGGGACCAGGCCTTAAAGAACAGGTGGATGGAGAGGGAGGAGGGGCAGGAGGGCCCTCCAGGGAGGAGGATGTCCAGGCACCAGCTTGGAGACAGGGCCGGGCCTCAGAACTGTACAGCATCCCAGGGGTGCCAGCCAAGTCCTTGAACGCCGACCCCTCTAATTCAGAACCGGGGATTACAGAGAGGGTGGGGGCAGGTGAGTCAGGGAAGGAAGGGCTTCAGAGGAGATGCCTGTGTCCACAAGATTTTCTCTCTGGAAACCAAGAGGCTAGAGTGGTGTCCAAGAGCCTGCTGCCACCTGAGGACCCTCCAGCAACCTCGCTTCCTGGCCAACAGCTGAGCTGCTCCTTGCAAATCATTCCAGTCTCATTAGCTGCACCCTCTCCTGATCCCTACCTGTTTGTGAGCTTGGTTCTAATTATAGGAGAGTCATAAAATGCTTTAAAAATAGCCTATAAATCACAATTCTTGGTAACTCTGACAAGTGCCTCCCTGGAGGAGCTTTCACAGCAGGCCGGGGTTGCGAAGGAAGCCGAGGCCCCCTGCTGGTCCTGGAGGGATTTCAGCTGCGGCGGGGTCCTAAGTTCCAGCCCAGCCCCAGGGAAGGGCGCTCTTTTGAGGAATTGGGGCTGGGGTGGGGGTTGGGCAGGAGCAGTTCTTTCACTGTGACTGTGTTCTGAAGGTCAGCCAGGCACCCAGGTGGCGCTAGTGGTAAAGAATCCACCTGTCAATGCAGGAAACGCAAGAGACCTGGGTTTGACCCTGGGTCAGGAAGATCCCTTGGAGAAGGAAATGGCAACCCACTCTTGTATTCTTGCCCGGAAAGTTCCATGGACAGAGGAGCCTGGCGGGCTATAGTCCACGGGGTTGCAAAGAGTTGGACATGACTGAGCGCACGCACACACACACACACACACACACACACACAGAGGTACCAGGCACTTCACATGCTTTCACTTCTAGTCTTCACACTCCCGACCTGGGAAGTTATCATGGTTTCCATTTTACAGATGAGGAAACTGAGACCCAGGGAGGTCTGCCCCAGGTCCCATAGCTGGTTGAGGGCAGAACCAGGATTTGAGCGTGGGGTCTTCTCTTCCTCTAGTCCTTGATGTGAGACACAGCCCCTCACCCAGAGTCCTAGCCAGCGCCTTTAGTTCCCGCCCTGGCTTTGACCCTCATTCCTGCACTCGGGGGAGGTCCTGTGACTGCCCTCTTTGAATCTCGGCATCTTGGCCTGGGAGATGGGGGCCCAAGAGTCCGTGCTGGCTGCTGCTGTTGCCAGGGTGCAGGAGCTAATGGATTCATGAGCGCCTCTCCACAGCCCTGAGTGCCTGCGTCCACGTGGAAGGGCGGCTGTTAGCTTGATTACCAACACCGCTGCAGTTTCCGGGAGGGGAAGTGTTTAATTGGGGGTTTTATTTCCAGCACCAGGGTCTGACTTAATGAAATATTCCCTAGGCCTCCTGGCTCATGGCCGGCTGCCTCCTGGTGTTGACAAGACCAGAGCCAAGCTTCTGGTTATAATATACCAGTAGCTCCCGGGCCAGATAAGGCTGGCCTGATAAGCTGGGCTGGGCCCTGACCCACCCCATCTCCAGCCAAGATGGGCGCCTGGGGACCACAGCCGGGCCAGGAACAGTCCTGGCTTTTAATATTTGCTGCTAATGAAGGGTAATTGACAGACGCATTTGCATAGGCTTACTGAGCTTTGCAGGGATGCTGCGATCCCTTGACACTGTGCCAGTAACACACACATCTGTGCACAAACCACCTCCCCACCACCTCCCCATCCTCCCAGCTCGCCCTGAGAAGAGAGCCCAGGAATGGTAGGGTGCAGGGGGCCCACGCTGCCAAGACAACCTGCTGGGAAGATGCTGAATGTTGGTGAATCCAGGCCCAGAGGTAGGGTGGCGAAATGGCACATGGCCATGGTGGACTGTTAGCAGAGAGTTTGGGTATGACTTTTGGCCTTTTGGCCTCTAGGGGCAGAGGGCTGGGGGCTGTGATCCTGATTCTGCCACTCCCTGGCTGGATGATCTTGGGCAAGTCACTTGGCCTCTTAGAGGCTCAGTTTCTCCATCTGTAAAATGGGATTCTTGACGCCTAACCTTGTAAGTTAGTTGTGATGTCCACAGGTGTCAGGCATATAGCAGGTGCTCAAAACCCATTTCTATGAGAGTGCAGCCCTGCAGAGAGGGCTTGAGAGAGGAAGGAAAGCATCCATTTGTGTGCCTTCTGGCTGCGAGACCCTGTGCTTCTGTGGCAAGTTGAGTGTTATTAGGGTCACACTGCTGCAGGCTGCATCCTGGGTCAGTGGCACTTCACTGGTTTGGGCTCAGTTGCTGGGTCCTCTCCCTTCCCTGGCCCCTCTGCCTCCTCACTGCTCCCCACTTCCTCCCATCTAAACGGGCTTCCAGAAAAGGCTCTGACACCAGTCTCACACCTGGTGGAATCAGCCCAGATCTTCATCACTGCTCTGGGGTCATTACCCCTGAAGACTGGTGTTGCTGTCATGTCAAATGACAACCCCTGGGGAAGAATTCTAGGCACTCACACAGCAGATCAAAGAGACATCCGGGGGCTCATCCAGTTGCTTAAAGTCAGACCTGGTGCCTCCCTTCTCTGCCTTTGTCCTTTTTTGATTTTGTTCATCCTTGTGTCGGGGGCTTCTCCTGCTGAGGGAAATCTCACCATTAGATTTTTAAGGCTTTTGTTTATGGAAGCAAAAAGAGACTTCCCCAGGGAAGTCTCTTAAAATGCAGGTTCTTCTAGAAGCTGTAATGCCAAAAGCTGACTTAGCCCCACGGTATTAGCAGATAACTTCTGTCTCCTGAATCGGGACCCTGCTCAAGGTCTCTGAAGAGCAGGGGGAGAAAGGAGAGAGTGAGCTGTAAGCTGGGGACTGGCTCAGGGGACCAGGGTCCCACTGACAGGCCCTGAAGATGTCTGACTGTATAGGCGGAGGGTTGCCCCAGCCCTTAAAACGAAGATGTCAGGCATTTGACAGCAGTGGGTGGGTTGACGGTTTGTGAACTAGGAAATGCAGCCCCGGCCTCGATGGCACATCCCTCCTGGGCCCTGGCGGGTGGACCTGGGCTGGCGCTGCTGCTGAAAGACATGCGTGTTAATGAGCCCCTTTTGCAGACCTGTCCTTGCTGCTGCCTCTCCACCTGGAAACTTCTGAGCAGCCTCTGCCAGCCAGGGCCTCCCTCCATCCCTCACACTGAGCCTTCTTCCCACACCTGGGGAATCTGGTCTTTAAAATCTTTTATCCTTTGGAATTAAAAGATAGATATGTATTTATTTATCTTTGGCTGTGTTGAGTCCTAGTTGTGGCGCATGGACTCAGTAGTTGTGGTCCAGAGGCTTGGTTGCTCCCCGGCATGTGGGATCTTCCTGGACCAGGGGTCGAACCCGTGTCCCCTGCATTGGTAGGCGGATTCTTAACCGCTGGACCACCAGGGAAGTCCCTAGCATTTTTTAAGTCTTTTAAAACTCGTCCTGGTCCCCAGTCCCCTCCTTGACCCCCCTCCCCCCACCCCGGTGGTAAATCTCTCCCCACTGGTCTCCTGGCCCTGGGGTCAGACTTATGTTTCCTCCCAGACACAAGTAAGCCCCTCTCACTGTGACCTCACTGCAAACTTGGGGCCACCAGTCACCACGCTCCCTGGATGGTGGACAGTGAGGCCCAGCAGGGCAGTTGCCCCAGCACCTGATGCCCAGGCAGGGTGTGAGGGCCACAGGGACACCCTGTCCCCAGTTCTGCTGGGCCTGTGTGTGACCTGTCTTCTTCGCGTTGATGTTATTCCTTTCTAAGCACTTCTTCTTTCTGTGAGTCTTGATTCTCTGAAGTCAGGCTCTGTGCTTCCTTCCTCCCTCAGACAGGGAGCTCCTGGTGGACGGGGGCTGGATGTCCCCCCACTCACACTGGGAGATCTCCGAGGACAGCCTCCGTCTCCGGCTACTTGGAGTTACTTGAAGGGAGGACCCAGTTTTCCCCCTCTTTGAACAGAGGGTCTCTCAGCATCTCTAAGGGTCTCTAAGGTCTCTAAGGGTCTCTAAGCCAGTCTCTGCCATTGGCTATGTATTCCTTTTAAATCAGGTGATCTTTGACAATAGGACTGGGTCTCCTCCATCAGATTAGAACTTCCTGAGGACAGGGCTGTGTCTCCCCTCAGACTGGCTCTCCCAGAAGGCAGGGCTGTGTCTCTTTCTTTCTCTTGGGAGCTCTGTGCCCCCTTTATAGCTGAGGTCTACTTTGCCCAAGGAGGTGGCCCTGAGTTCCAAGAATCAGAAATCGCAGGGGTGGCTGTGGGTCTGCCAGGGCCACTACTCTTCACCAAACCTTGTCTGAGTGAGATTTGAGGCAGAAACATAGAAATGGTGTGTTCAGTCACTCAGTCATGTCCGACTCTTTGCAACCCCGTGGATGCAACCTGCCAGGCCTCCCTGTCCATCACCAACTCCAGGGGTTTACTCAAACTTCTGTCCATTGAGTTGGTGATGCCATCCAACTATCTCATCCTCTGTCATCCTCTTCTCCTCCCACCTTCAGTCTTTCCCAATATCAGGGTCTTTTCCAATGAGTCAGTTCTTCGCATCAGGTGGCCTAAGTGTTGGAGTTTCAGCTTCAGTANCTCCTTTTCCTATTTGGAACCAGTCTGTTGTTCAATGCCCAGTTCTAACTGTTGCTTCTTGACTTGCATACAGATTTCTCAGGAGGCAGGTCAGGTGGTCTGTTATTCCCATCTCTTAAAGAATTTTCCACAGTTTATTGTGATGCAGACAGTCAAAGGCTTTGGCATAGTCAACAAAGCAGAAGTTGATATTTTTCTGGAACTCTCTTGCTTTATCGATGATCCAACGGATGTTGGCAATTTGATCTCTGGTTCCTCTGCCTTGGAAATGGTGTGGCCTTATCTCAAAAGTGTGGGTTCGTCAAACTGCATTCCAGGGTGGCTAAGAGGAAAGGCTGAGGCGGGGCCTGGGCAGGTCCCCTTTGTGACCTTTGCTGTTCCTGGGTGAAACGGACACGTGGCAGGAGAGGAAGACCCGAGCATGTGTATGTGTGTGTGTGTGTGTGTGTAGAGGGGTCACGGGGCCGACCCCCGGGTGGGGAGGGTGCGAGGCAGGTGGCCGTGGGCCGAGGCTCACCCTGTGCCTCCGCCCCAGTGCTGCAGGGTCACGTCTACCGGTTCTGCACCGCGGACGGCCTGTGGCTGCACAAGGACAACTCAAGCCTGCCCTGGAGGGACCTGTCCGAGTGTGAGGATTCCAAGCGGGGGGACCGCGTGAGTTTAGGAGGTGGGGAGGGGGTAGCAGGGGCCCATCATGGGAGCAGGGGCCCGGGCCATCTCCGGGTAGGTCTGTCTCCACCTGCCCATCCCCCTGCTTCTGGGGTTTTGCTCACCACTCCTTCTGGACACAGGTGGTGTGTGTTCACTTCTTTGGCCTCAGAACAAGGTCCTAGAAATCCGGGGACTGTCACCATAGGTGATTCCCTTCCTCAGTTCCGGGACCCCAGTGGGGCTGAGTCTCCCCTGTTCCCCGGGACAGCAGGCTGTGGGAGAGGAGGGTCTGTACACCGTGTCCCCCTGTGTCCACAGAGCTCCCCGGAGCGGCGGCTCCTGTCTCTTTACGTCATCTACACGGTGGGCTATGCGCTCTCCTTCTCCGCGCTGGTCGTCGCCTCGGCCATCCTCCTGGGCTTCAGGTAAGGGGGCCGCTTCCGCCTGACCCATTGCTCTGTCCCCATATGGGGATGGGAGCACCAAACTGAAGCGACAGCATAGCAGAATCCTCTCCTAAGAGATGATCAGAGAGGCCACACCATAGACTGTGAGGCTGAAAACACAGCCCACAGCACTGTACTTAGGCAAATCTGTACCGTGTACACGTGTGCATGCAATGCTGCAAAAAAGGAAAAGCAAACAAATGCACACATGCCACACGCCTTCGTGGCGGATGATGGGAGGAGAGGAGGTCCTCTCCCGTGAGCCTATGTCTCAAATGATCGGGAGTTCAGTATGATTTTAGGAGACCTCAGGGGGTTAGCAATTCTGCTCTCTTTGGAGTTTGTCAGCTCCCTTGGAAAATTTCCTCCCCAAGTCTACCCATTCCTTTCAGAGTACCAGGCCCTTCCCACGCCCTGTGCACTAATGGCGGAGGGCCAGGAGGGCCAGGTTCACGGGCAGGAGGAATTCGAGGGCTGGGAACTCAGGACAGCAGCCAGCAGGAGCAGGAGAGGTGACATTCCTCCTGCATCCCCATGGCTTCTGGCACAGTCAGGGCTGGGCACACAGTCAGTGCTCCATAAATACATTCACTCAAGAATATTCTCCCCTTTTGTTAGGAAACGTTTAGAGATCTGAAAAAATACAGTGTCTGGGACTATAATCACCTGTGCACACACCCTCCGAAGCCCAGGAACTAGAGCCCAATGGCAAGGTTAAGATTCTCAGGATCACCCTTCCTCCCCACCAGAGGGAACTCCTCTGGGGCTGCTTATAATTCTGATGCCTCTCTCTATTCTTTTATTGCATTTCTAAGTATCTCTAAAACCATATAGCATGGGTCTTGCATGTCTTTAATGGCCTGTTGGGCATACTTTTCAGCAGTGTTATTTTTGGCCTGATGTTGTATCTTTTTGAGGTTCATTCACAAATGATACAGGTGGTTCTGTTTCATTCATTTGAACCATCACTCCATTGTATGATATATTGCAGTTTATTTGTTGTCCTTTTACTGGACATTTGAGGCTTTTCTCTCTTTTTTCTTAGTTATGAACATTGCTAAGATGAGCATGCTTACCCATGACCCCTTGTACACTGCTCCAGGGGCACATGCCTCTGAGTAGAAGTGCCTGGTCTGAATACGACGTGCTGTTGCAAATGTATTAGGTGTTGTGAAGTTGTTTTCCTAAGTGCTCAGACCCATTTGCCCTCTTACTGATAATATATGAAAGTTCCCTTGGCTTAACATCCTCACCAATATTTCCTATTTTCAGACTTAAGTGTTGGTAATCTGAAGTATGTGAAGTATCTCATTATGATTTTAATTTGCATATCACTGATTCCTAGAGAGATCTAGCAGACTTTTTATGTTTCATTCTGTGAATTGTTTGTTCATATCCTTGGCTTACTTTTTTATTGGCTGATTTGGCTTTTTCTTTTGATTTTAGGCATTCCTTATATATTCTAGATAGTAATCCAGGATATATCCTCTCAGCCTGTGGTTTATTTTTTCACTTACTGTATGGTGCCTTAATAATTTTAATGGAATGGAATATACCAATGTATCTGATTCTATTGATAAACAAAAGTCTTAATTTTAACAGAATGAAATATATCAATGTATCTGATTCTGTTGATAAACACAATTTATCAGTGTTATCAATTAATAAAAATTCATTTTCCCAATTGATAAAAAAATTGATCAAATTTTTTTCCCCCAAAGGCCAGATTTCATTATGGTCTTCAGAAATCTTTTCTTATCCTAGCATCATAAGTTTTACACGCCCCTTATGGCTCTTTGGTGAACCTGTAATTTATTTTTGTCTATAGTGAAAGTAAGAGATTTAATTTCATTTTTCCACATATGCATATAGTTAATTGCATCAGTACCACTTATGGGTAGCCCCCTTTCCACCCCTGGTTTCTGCTGTGCGGCAAGCCTTATACACCTGGGTGGGTCCCTATCATCTGGATTGTTTTCCATTGGTCTACTTGCCTGTCCCTTTGTTGATAACCACAGTGCCTTAACTACTTAGATTCATCAGAAAATCTTGATTTTCTTACAGTTGGAGCCCCTATATTGTGATTCTTTAGGAGTGTCTGTACTATTCTTGCGGAGAAGGCAATGGCACCCCACTCCAGTACTCTTGCCTGGAAAATCCCATGGAAGGAGGAGCCTGGTGGGCTGCAGTCCATGGGTTCGCTAACAGTCGGACACGACTGAGCTACTTCACTTTCACTTTTCACTTTCATGCATTGGAGAAGGCAATGGCAACCCACTCCAGTGTTCTTGCCTGGAGAATCCCAGGGACGGAGGAGCCTGGTGGGCTTCCGTCTATGGAGTCGCACAGATTCGGACACGACTGAAGCGACTTAGCAACAGCCGCAGCAGTAGTACTATTCTTGGCCCTTGGCTCTTCTTTTTAAAAAAAATTATTTATTTTTACCATACTGCATACCATATGGGATCTTAGTTTCCCCAACCAGGGATTGAATGCGCATCCCCTGCATTTGAACCATAGAGTCTTAATCACTGGACTGTCAGGAAAGTCCCCTTGGCTCTTCTTTATAAGGTTTTTTTTTTTTAACTTTTCATTTTATATTGGAGTATAATTAACAGAATTTATTTACAAAAGAGAAAGAGGCTCACAGACTTAGAGAACTTATGGTTATCAGGGAGCTGGGGAGGGATAGTTAGGGAGTTTGGGATTGATACACACTGCTATATTTAAAATGGATAACTGGGACTTCCTTGGTGGTCCAGTGGTTAAGACTCCATTCTTCTAATGCAGGGGGCCCTGGTTTGATCCCTGGTTGAGGGATTAAGATCCTACATACTGCACATCATGGCCAGAAAAATAAAAATTAAACAAAATGGATATCCAACAAGAACATGGAACTCTGTTCAATATTCTATAACAACCTAATTGGGAAAAGAACTTGAAAAAGAATAGATACGTGAAGTGCATAGCAGAATCACTTTGTTCTTCTTTATAAGTTTTTTAAAACTTCCATCAAAAGAAAAACCAACACTGTTGGAATTTTTATTAGAGTGAATTGAATTTATTGGTTAATGTGAAGAGAAGCAACACTTTCAAGGTAGTGTCTCTATCCATGAATCTGGTGACTCTTCTCTTAATTTGAGTCTTCTTTAATTATTTTAAGCAAGCTTTACCTGTATTCTCCATAGAAACTGTGCCATCTTCTGTTAGACTTATTTCCAGGTACGAATTAAAAATAATACAAATGAATTTTTAAATTTACTTTTTAATTGTTTACTCCTGATGTACATAAACATACATATCAGCAACCATATTGAATGAACTCTGATTAGTTCCAGTACTTTATGTGTTGATTCTCTTGCATTTCCTATGAAGGTCATCTATAAACAGTGACAATTTTGTGTCTTTATTTCCAGTTCTTATCCATTTTTCCCCTTGCCTTCTTACAGGGGCCAGGATTTGTAGTACAAAGTTGAGTAGACGTGATATAAGTAGATCTTACAGCTAGATAATCCTTATTTTGTTCCTGATTTAAAGGGAATCTTCTTAAAATTTCTCAGTTAAGAATGAAGTTGGCTCCTTGTTTGGCTGGACAGCCCTTATTAGGTAAAGAAATGTCCTCATATTTTCAGTTTGTTTTTACACGAAAGGATATTGAAGTTGTATCCAGTACTTTTTGAATTCCTGCCATGTGCTTAGCCCCAATCTGTCACTGCAAGGCAGCCTGGAGGCATGTTAGACATAGGCTGTCATCAGGAAGCCAAGCAAGTCCCCAGTGGGGAAAGTGGTCTTCACACAGATCACTTGGGTTACACGTGATTTTGTAGAAGGGAAGATGATGCAGAGAAAAGGATAGAATGTAGATGGGATGTGGGGTGGCAGTCACCACACAGCTAAAGGCTTCATGGACAGGCGGGACATGAAAGCCAAAGGATTTTCAAGATTATGGGAAACAAGGGCATCTTGGAGGAAGAAAGACAGGAGCATAGTCCCGGGGATAGACACTTGCCTGAGAACCAGGGCTTGTGGAGCAGAATTGTTGGTCATTGTGCCAGGGAAGGCCCTGCTTTCTCCCGCAGACATCTGCACTGTACCAGGAACTACATCCATCTGAACCTCTTTGCATCCTTCATCCTCCGAGCACTGTCTGTCTTCATCAAGGATGCGGTCCTCAAGTGGATGTACAGCACGGCCGCCCAGCAGCATCAGTGGGACGGGCTCCTCTCCTACCAGGTGTGTGGTGTGTCCAGGGAGGGCTCGGGGAGGGTGGATGGTCTGTGAAGGGCAGGCTTCCCTACCCCACCCAGGCCTGACGCAAAGGAAGGCAAGAACTGCCCCACCCTGGTCGTCAGGAAGCCCTCAGTCTGATGGAGAGAGGCGGTCCACTCTGGGAAGCCCCCAGTCTGATAGGAGAGGCTGTCCACCCTGAGGAGCCCGCAATCTGATGGGAGAGGCTGTCCACTCTGCACAGTCCCCCAGTCCAGTCTGATGGGAGAGGCAGTGGGGAGCTTCCAGTCTGAGGAGGGAAAGACTGCCCTGCCCAGGGAGAGTACTGTCTAACTCTGGGGAGTGGTTTTTTGGAGACAGACCTGGGTTTGAATTCCAGTTCTACCACTTACTCATTTGCAGGCATAAGTTATTTACATCTCTGAACTTCAGTTTTTTCAGCCATATGGGGGTAATTAGTTTCATTCCTCCAGGATAGTGAGGACCCCATGAGCTAGATAGAGCAGGTCAAGGTCTTAGCGCTAGCCCGGGCGGGAAGGTGTCAGCTGTGTCATCCTGTGTTCGCTCTGGCAGGATAGCAGCTGGGGCGGGACTGGGAGGGGGGTCAAGAGAGGCAGGGGCAGAGCTGTTGTGCCCTGGGGACCCTTCCTGTGCCCCCAGGAGTCTCTGGGCTGTCGCCTGGTGTTCCTGCTCATGCAGTACTGCGTGGCGGCCAACTACTACTGGCTCCTGGTGGAGGGGGTGTACCTGTACACGCTGCTGGCCCTGTCCGTCTTCTCCGAGCAGCGCGCCTTCAGGCTGTACCTGAGCATTGGCTGGGGTAAGGCCCACCGCCCGTCCTCTCACCCCTACCCCGACTGAGCGCAGCGGGGGGAGACCCTGATCCCTCTTGGAGCTGCTGCCTTCAGGTTACACAGGGGGCCAGCCCGGTACTCAGAACACACGGCTGGGCCAAGGGGTGGGGCCACCTTGGAGAACCCCGTCCTGGGAACAGGACTCGCTGCCGATGGGACTGTCAAGGCACTGTCCAGCCTCCCTGCCTTTGCGTGACTCTCCCCCCTTAAAGGAAGCAGAGGCTTTTGCCTCTCTGGCCAAATGCACGACATACACCATTGGCAGTCATGGTACCAGTCTTAAAGATCCCGGCCCCTAAGACCCTTGGGGGACAGAGCCCCACACCCAGTCCTGGACACCTCAGCCCTGAGGGAAGTGGACAGTCCTGGGTCCCTGGGTATGGGGCCGAGGGGCATGGCTCTGTCACACAATGATGAAGAGGAGAGCTGAGTGAGGGGATGGGAGAGGGTCAGCCAGAAGCCAGCTGAGCAAAGGGTGAACCCCGGAAGTGCCTGGAGCCCAGCTGGAAATGTTCTGGCCAAAAAAGTTTGCCGAGAACCACTGTGTCTTTTTTTTTTGCTGGAACATTTCTGGTTGTGCTTCTGCCTCTCTCCACATGGGATTCCAGTGAGAATGGCGTCGGGGTGGGGCAGGGGCTGCGGCACCCATCCTGGAAGCACCCCCTACCAGCCTCCACCCCTGACCTCCACCTCTACCCCAGAAACAGATGCAACAATACTTCCTCTGGAGGGGCCCACGGGCACCCACCTGGGATGGAGCCAGGAGCGGGCAGTCTCTGGGCCTCTCACACCGTAATGGGACCCACTCTCTTCCCATTTCCATGCTCCCCCCTTAAATCCCCCCCTTTCCCATACTGGCTGTTTCCCCTGAGCCCCTGCCAGGCTGAGCCTGGTCCTGCCCGCCTCCTTGGGAAGTGCCCTGGGTTCCTGGCCCCTGGGTCTGGGCTCTGTCTGGTCCCCTCCGCTGCCCTGCTCCCACCCTCACACTTCAGCCCTTGTTGATGATGCTCTTTGGCTACTTCGTTCCATAGGCCCTGCTGCAGAAGAGCATCTGAGAAGGGGCTTTCATGTGATCAGTGTCCTGAGGGCGAGGCAGTAGAGAGCAGGCTCTGGGCCCAGGCCTCCTGACTCCCAGGCCCTGGGCCCTGTTGCCTGTCACGCCAGGCTTTCTTTAGCCCCTGAGAGCCCGGCTGAGCAAGCTCGGTCCTGCAGTGGGCAGGTGGGCCTGCCTCGGGGCGCAGCTCCTCCCTCCTGCGTCTCCTCCCCTCTTCCCCCAGGGCCCAGCCCTCCCCTGCCTGGCCTCCTCCCCTCCCAGGCCTCTTCATCCTACAGGGGCATCAGACTGGCAGTGGGCAAAGCTGAAGAGCTCTGCAACCAACTGGAGGGGTGGATGGAGTTAGGCCATGAAGGGGAGCTCCGGGAAGGTGGTCCTCAGGGTGGGGGCCTGTGTCTGTCCATTCTGGGAAATAGCATCAGCGCTGGAGTGCCGTCACCATGGTGACTTGAGGGCGGAAGTGATGGAAGGAACGGTGTGATGTGTGCAGAGGCGCATGGGTGGTGGGTGGAGACTTTGGAGAGCTGGGACACAGTGTTCCTGAGGTCTCTGAGTGGGCAGTGAGGGAGGGGGTTCCAGTCTTTTACCATCACCTCATGCCCGAGCTTGGGACCCAGAGTCTGAGGGAGCAGAAGGGCAGGACCCTGGGGGACCCCCTCTTCCTACTCAGATCATCCTTTTCTTGAGGAATTGGGATGGGGAGAGACAGAGGAGCAAAGACAGGACAGACAGACGAGTCACTGAGAGCCCAGAGCTCTTCTGTGATGCTAGGAGGCTCTTGGTCCAAGTGGGATGCTTGGGAAACACCTTCTAGCTTCATATGCAAATGCAGGAATTAAAATTAGGACTCTGATACAGCAGGAGAATCCCCAAAAGGCATGTCAGCCTCTGCTGTTGTCCATGGGTGGCCAGACACTCCCATAACCCACCAGAAGGAGGCCTCTCAGGGGGGAGGCATGTGACACACGAGGAAATCATCACTTCTCAGAGCCAATCTGTGTGTCTTCATTCAAGCCTTTTTCTCTAGCCTGTCTTGTTGATTTTCTAAATGGGAGAAAGATGAAGCCAGCAGGGAGTGTGTAATGTTTGCAAGCGGCAGAGCTGTGCCTGCAGTTTTTTTAAGACTTCGTTAAGGAGATGCTGATGCATGAATAAAGTTCACCAGATTTGGTTTTTAACGTGAGTGAGCTCCCCTGTCCTGGGGTGGGGTCTCAGAAAAAAGCCAGTAGGGGACTGGGGATGTCGAAGACAGAGGTTTGCAGATGTGTGTGTGGCTCTGGGCATTGGCTTGTTCTTGCCTGCACAGCTTCCCTTGTCTCACTGATACACTGACTCTTTCATTCATTCATTCCATTCTTACTGGGCATCTTCTATGTGACAGGCTCTGTGCTATGTGCTGGAGCCTTGGGAAGCTGTCTGCCTCTTGCCCAGTCTCGCGAAGGCCTATTACTAAAGCAACATGGATGCTGGGAGGTCGGGGTTATGTAAAAATAAATAACTAAGGAGAAGGGTATCTGATGATCATGCTGGTCAGCCGTGAGCCATGCTGCTTCCTCCAGCCTTGATCATCTGCACAGTCAAGTACAGTTGCTCTGGAGCGCAAGCTGTTCGGTAGCTGCTGTTGAGTGGACATCCATGTGTTGAGGATGTGGGTGATGGCAGCAGGAAAGGTGATGAAGTGGGTTCTGCCCTGGAAATGTGCTTCCTGAAGCCACACATGCGTACACATGGACTCCCCACTACCACCTCACACACATCCTGTCCGCGCACCTTAAGATGCACACTTATTCTTCTCGGACACCCACATCTCCACCCCTGAGAGGCACCAATAGAGACAGGCTTGGACAGGGTTGGTGCTGAAAGCCACTAGGTGGTGGGATTGCAGTCCTGTGTTCTAGTCCCACCTGTGGCCTCTTTAGCTGCTGATGCAGCTCCTCGACTCTCACATGAGGATGGACCATCCAATTAAAAAAATTTTTTTTGACTGTGCTGGGTCTTCATTGCTGCAGACCAGCTTTCTCTAGCTGAGGCAAGCAGGGTCTACTCTAGTTGTGGTGCACGGGCTTCTCACTGTGGTGTCTTCCCTTGTTGCAGAGCACAGGCTCTAGGGTGTGTGAGCTCAGTAGTTGTGGCCCACGGGCTTAGTTGCTCCGCAGCATGTGCAATCTTCCCAGACTGGGGATCAAACCCGTGTCCCCTACATTGGCAGGCAGATTCTTAATCACTGGACCAACAGCCAAGTCTGACAATCCAATCGTAAGTTAGCGAACATATACTGAACTCCAGAGGGAGATGGTCACTGAGGCCCTGCAGATGAATTAGGTTCTGTCCTTAAGGAAGGAGAAGCCAGTGTATTATTTACCTATGACTGTGTAACAAATGACCTCTCACTTAGATATTTAAAACAAGTGTATCTCGCAGTTTCTATGGTCAGAATTCCGAGTTCAACTGAGTTGCCCGCCTTGGGCTTAGGATCTCCAAGAGAGGTGTCGTGGAGCTGTTGGCCAGGGTAGCTATCACCTCAAGGCTTAATGGATTGGAGGATCCACTTCCAAGCTCACTGTCTAGGTTGTTGGCAGGAAGCTCAGGTCTTTGCTATCTGTTGGCTGGAGGCCTCCATTCCTCACCACACTGGGCTCTCTGAGTGCCCACATGACCCAGCAGCTGGTGTCCCCCAGGGCAAGTGACCGAATTAAGAGAGAAAGAGTCCAAGACCTGCCTTTTACAATCTTGAAGACCTTTTCTAGCCTAATCTCAGAAATGATATGCTATCACTTCTGCTGTATGTTGGTCACACAGACCAATCTGGATCCAGTGTGGACCACACCCAGCTGTGAATACCAGGGGTGGGGTGATTGGAGGTCATCCTAGAGGCCATCTGCCACACTGTCCCGCCTCGTCCATGTGGGCAGCGTTGTGATAGCTGGTGTTACTGTGGCCCCCGTGAATGGTCAGTTGGGCTGTGTCAAGGACAGGGCTCCTGTCTCTGCTCCAGGCTTCCCCACCCAGCCACGGGCAGCTGCGTGGGGACTGGGGCGGGTACCTGGAGGGGCTTTCAGTGCTATAGGAGTTGACCAAAATGGGTATGTGGGCCCAGGCAGGGGTGGGTGGCATCAAAGAGTTGGCCCCTGGCCCATGGGAAGGGGTAGACTGTGAAGACAGTCATGGGCCCCATGTGGTGGGGACCACTCTCTAGGGAAAAGTGTGGGGAGGTGGGAAGGGTGGCTCTTGCTGCTGCTTTTCTGAAGCACCCACGCCAGCCTAGTCCTATACCTGTTAGAAAACGTGGCCAGGGGTCAGGCAAAGAGCGGGGCTGGAGGTGGGAGAGCCCGGATGGGGGCCTCCAGGTGTGTCTGGCACTGGCTCTGGCCTGCCAGCCCCTCTGCCCTCTGTCTCCCACTCTATCCTCTTAGGTGTCCCCTTGCTGTTTGTCATCCCCTGGGGCATCGTCAAGTACCTCTATGAGGACGAGGGGTGAGTGTCCTGCTCTGAGGGGGTGAGGGGTGTGCTGAGGTCACCATCCTCAAACCCCATGGGATTCCTTGGCTCCTGGGGTGTGCAGTTACTGCCTCTTAGGAGGGTAAACTGAGGCACCAGGAGCTAAATTTATGAATTTATTCTGTAATCTCCCACCTTCCCCTTCCCTGGCTTTTATGATGACAAGGGTGATGGTCTGTGGGAGTAGGTGATGTCCCCCTACAGGTTTTCCCGTAACAACTGTGAGTGAAATGTTCATGTTATTTGTGTGTGCTGCTGAGGACACATGTGACTGTGATTGTAGGCACATGAAGGGGCTATGTGTATCTCTGTGTTTAGGACTCTGTGTGTGTGTGTGTCCTGGGGCTGGTTGTCAGGTGACCGGTGGCCGTGTTTGTGTGGCTGTGTGTGTATGTGTGTGTCACTTTACACGCCCTTGGTATGGGGCTGCCTGGCGCCTGCTGGGGGCTTGTGTGCCCGAGCCGGGGCCTGTGTGTCTCTCTCCGGCCAGCTGTTGGACCAGGAACTCCAACATGAATTACTGGCTCATAATCCGGCTGCCCATCCTCTTCGCCATTGGGGTGAGTGATGCTGTGGGCAGGCGGTGTGGGAGCTGTGGTGCGCCCGGGCACTCAGGGAGGACGGGGTTGCCAGGGCGTTTTGAGGGGGCCTCCAGTCGCCCTCCCCTCTGCCCTGCAGGTGAACTTTCTCATCTTTGTCCGGGTCATCTGCCTTGTGGTGTCCAAACTGAAAGCCAACCTCATGTGCAAGACGGACACCAAGTGCAGGTGATGTAATGGAGCCGCCCTTGTCGGGCACCCTGAGCCCTTCCTTGGGGCAGAGATGGAAGTCCTGGTGTGCGGAGCTTGGATCCCTAGGAGAACTTTATTCCTCCACCCAGGCCTGGCTGAGCCCCCAGGTCTTGTCTCACCCCTGTACCTGGGCAGCCCCTGGGCTTCTGGGGTATCCATCTCTTACTTCCTCCCCTCCAGGCAGCCCGTCCCAGGGTATTTGGTGGGGGAGGGTTCTGTGACCCAGATGGCGGGCCTTGGTGGGCGCCGGGAGCACAGGATGGGGAGCAGAGGCCACGAGAGAGGTCCAGAATGATGTCCCTGCCCCACCCCCCAGGCTCGCCAAGTCCACGCTAACACTCATCCCCCTGCTGGGGACGCATGAGGTCATCTTCGCCTTCGTGATGGACGAGCACGCCCGGGGAGTGCTGCGCTTTGTCAAGCTGTTCACAGAGCTCTCCTTCACCTCCTTCCAGGTGACCTCGCAGCGGGGGCCCCACTCCAGAAGTCCCAGGGTGGGGGCGGGGCGAGAACAGCCTGCACCACCAAGGGGCAGCCCGGGGCCTGGGCTAAAAGCGGCCCCTCCCCAGGGGATGTAGTTGGAGCAGAGCCAGAGTCCCAGGTACCCTGACACCTAGGCCAGTCTCCTCTGTGAGCGCGCTGGATAAGAAGCCTTCCTGCATGTTACCTTGGGCACCCAGCCTGGCAGAGCACCTGCCATCCCCTGGGCTGCTTGCTGGTGGCAGGTGCTTTGCAGACATTGTGCAGTTCATCCTCCCAGAATCCCAGGCAGTGTGCAGGAGTATCCCATTTTACAGAGGAGGAAACTGAGGCTCAGCAATGTTAAAACGAGATTTCCAGGTCACATAGTTTCCCAAGCTGAGAACTGAGCCTCTCCACTAGTATTAGTTGTTGCTGAGGGTGGGGAGTTGAATATCAACAGGGGTGCAGAAATGTGAGAAACTGGCCCAACTCCTCAGATGTCTGTGTGGGCCCATGTGTGTGCATTTACGCACATGTACTCACACACACAAATAGATCACAGGTCTGGAGCACTGGGGCTCCTAAGTGAACGAATAGGGCCAAGCAGGGAAAATTCCATGTGATAAGTGTACTTTCTTGGATCGGACCTCTTCCAGGAGAGGTTGGTTGAAGAAATTCTGCAGTTTCTGAGCAAGGGTCCTTCTCATCCCTCTGGAAACAAAAGGAGAAGGAACCCACTACCCCCATTCCTGGGCCTGCCTTGGCTGCCCAGTCTCAGGAGGGAGATGCTGAGGCTGGAGCCCCAGGGAGCTTCAGACAGGCCTGCCTGCAGGGCGCCTCCCTCCGCTTCCTCCTGCTGACACAACTCTTGTTTCCAGGGGCTAATGGTGGCCATCCTCTACTGCTTTGTCAACAACGAGGTAAGGCCCGTGGAGGGATGTGGACCCCTGGTGGGGCTGCTACACTGACTGTCCCAGAGTTGTCCAGTGGGGTTGCTCAGGCTTCTTAGATGAAATCGCCACTCACCCCACTGAGGCACCGGAGCTCAGGAGGTGTCTTGTCCCTGTGTTGTTCCCTGGGCATGGTTTTCTCCATCACCCTCTCTCTCTCTCTTCCCCCACCCAACATACACACACTCACACACACACACACGTGTGTGGACAGGATGCCCTAACCATACATGAGCTTGCGGAAGACACAGCCTCATGTGAAGNATTCTTTAACAGCTGAGCTACCAGGGAAGCCCAGAGTCACTCTAATATGAGACAGTTTACTGACAAAGAATTTATTAAAGGTCAGCAGTTGAAATTTCTTACCTAGGAAAAAAGGAGTAGTAGAGTGAAAACTAGAATCCAGAGTCTGCCTTTATCCTTCCCACTATCATTCCCTCTCTTTAACATTTTACTTTTCTTAGGGATGTTTGCATTATAAATGTGCTGTAAAGAGAACAAAGAGCTAATACTACATTAGCAAGTAATGTGCCTGCTAAGTCAGTCGCTTCAGTTGTGTCTGACTCTGCGACTCTATGGATTGTGTCTGCCAGGCTCCTCTGTCCATGGGCTTCTCCAGGCAAGAATACTGGAGTGGGTTGCCATGCCCTTGTCTAGGGGATCTTCCCGACCCAGGGATCAAACCCAGGTCTCCTGCATTACAGGCAGATTCTTTACCATCTGAGCCACCAGGGAAGCCCTTCCTTACCTTTAAGCAAGGACTAACACGAGCTGCCTCACAGGGTCGCTGTGAAAGTTAACAATCTATGGTGAATGCTGGGGATATAGTAAGTGCCCTGTAAATGATGGTTTCTAATGACAATTATCACTGGGGTGGGGAGCACAGCAGAGGTTCAGGGAAAGGGCTGAGGGAGAGGGAGGCAGAGGGGGACACAGTCCCAGTCCGGTCCAATCCCTGTATCCATGAGGCCCCTCTAGTCCCTGAGCTGGCTTCCCAGGGATGTGCCTCAGTTGGCCGTCTCTCGTCTCATCTCCCCAGTGAAGGGCTGAGCCACAAGATTGGCCTTCCTGCGGCTGCACAAGCAGAGGCCACTGCAGGACTCAGGCATCGTCATGCCGGCTGTCAACACACGCATCACACTCACTCACCCGGGCAGTGAGCCGGCAAAGAGCCAGGGGCCGTGGGTGGTGTCTGCTCAGCCTCCCTCCCTTACCCCAGCCTGGGCTCGGAGATGCTGCCCGGGACCCGGGCACCATCCTGGCAGGCAGGCTCTGGGCCATTCAGCTTCACTCAGTGCAGATAAAGTTCTTTTAAGGGATAGGCATGTGGCCACGCCAGGCACCTTACTGGGCTGAGATGTATAGCAGCCCTGCAGGAAGAGAAGGGGGGTGTTTGCACAGGGACCAATGGGATTTTGGCAGTGAGCCATGTACCCACAGCTGCTGGCAGCTGGCCGCCCTGCTGGATGGAGCCGGAGAGGGCGGGCCTGGGACCCAGACACTCTGGTGTGGGGAGTTCCGGTGGCACGTGTGGAGCGCATCAGAGAAGCTCTGGAAAGCAGATGTAGGGGCGCATCCACTGGCCTAGTGCTCTGGATGCCCTTCCAGAGCTGGCTGTGCCGCTTCCAGCAGCCTGTCTGGGGGACTGGAACCACATGAGCCAGCCGCAGCATCACCACAGCCCTTAAGGGACTGGGGCTCTGCAGTGTTACTTGGATTGTATCTTTCTGCTCTAACCACCTGGGCCCCAAGCTTCCACTCTCTCAAGAAAGCTCTTGCTGATGGGGAGGGCTGAGCCCAGCATGGCAGCAGTTCTGCTTGGCTGGACTCACCTGGGCTGCACCCTCTGTGGGTTGAGACCAGCTCCTGGCTGGGATTAGTTTAAATCCAGGCTGAGAAGTCTTTGTCCGCAGCCTGCTCTTTCAGGCTGCTACTAGTCCTAGCCTCATTCTCCCCAACTCCTCTTCCCTTCCATCCTGGGGCCAGGATGAAAGCCCTCGGGGAATTTAGAAGGGTCTGGTGTGGACACCGTGAGGGGCGGGGTGGGCTGCCCCTCTTCTTCGTCATCCAAGAGCGCTCTGAAGGCAGATTCTCTCTTCTCCTTTTCTTCTCTCTCCATCTCCCTTCTCCTCACATCTCTCTGTCACTCCTTCTCTTCCGCTAACTGATACTGTGATGGATTGTGAAAGGTACTTAGCTGAGTCACAAGAGTTTAGAGATGCAAGAGACCAATTAGATCATCAAAGCCCGTCTCCCTCCCGAGAAGAGGCAGAAAATAGGAGACAACAAGAAACAATTTTATGGGGATATTAATTTAGGTGCCCGAAGCCCTTGATTTGTATCTCTTAATATAATGGGGTGGATTTTTCCCCTTCCCTCCTAATGTAATCACGGGGCCATTTCGTGGGCAGTTGGTTTGCCTGATGGCCTCTGCTTCTCTCCTTTCCCCGCGGAAGGTCCAGATGGAGTTCCGGAAGAGCTGGGAGCGCTGGCGGCTGGAGCACCTGCGTGTCCAGAGGGAGAACAGCATGAAGCCCTTCAAGTGTCCCAGCAGCAGCCTCAGCTGCGGGGCCGCAGCGGGCAGCAGCATGTACGCAGCCTCCTGCCAGACCTCCTGCAGCTGAGACTCGGGCACCTCCCTCCCTGTGGTCTCACTGCCGGCCTGGGTGGCCACCCCGGGTGGGAGAGACCCTCCCAGGGACTGGGGGGCCGGGGGAGGGCCACAGGCACACACGCTACTTCCCTGCTTTCCCATCCTGAGCCCATCAGACAGGCAGATGGGCAGTGCCTCCTGGGACCCGAGGACACATTTTATTCCGAGGAGAAGCAACCTGTTAATTTGATCACCCTGGCGGGTGGAGAGGAAAAAGCAATTGCTGCTAAAACGAGGAGGATTTCTTCTCGTTAAGCCACAAGGCCCCTGGGGTTCCCCCAGACAGAGCAGAACATCAGTCCCAGACTCAAACTCAAGGTCAATGGCTTATTAGTGGCCTTGTAAGAGGACATGGTTCTGCAAGAGGCGGATACGACCTCAGCTAAACACAGAGCTTGGGTGATGCCAGCCGACTCCGCCTGCCTCTGGTTGGCATCACCACCCACCCCCCACCTCCTCTTTAAGGGACGCTGGGCACAGGCTTGTTTCCCCTCCTCTGGCCCCTCATCCTACTGTCCACCCTCCAGCATCGATTTCTAGAAATGGTTGTGGGGGTGGTGTTGAGAAGGAACATCGAGAAGGTGCCTCAAAGTTTCCCCTTTCTGAACCCCACTTCTTCCTTGGGTGTTTGGGTTGCTTTGGCACCTGCTCCCGGGGCAGGTTCACGGCGGAGGGGTCCAGCCCCGGGTGTGAGCTCTGGCTCCTGTTCTAGAGATGCTCAAGAACCCTGTGGGGCTCCTCTCGGGGACTTTAGGAATGTCCGTGCTGGGAGTGTAGATTACTCTCTACTGTTGGGAACCCAGAGGCGCTGAGCGAGAGAGACTGCCTGCACCTCTCATGGAAATACTTTTTACCTGTCTAGCATGGGTGTTTGGGTGCACCCTCTTAACTTTAGGGGATGTGACCAAAAAGAAACTCTTCCAGGGACTCTACCAGTCCCCACCGTGACCAGGGAGGCGGGCTTCCCCTCCCTTTGGTCACTTCCCTGTGAAGTTCCCCCAACATGGGAGCTTGTAGATCCTTTGCTCATTTCTCTGTCTTTGCTGTGAATAGTTTCTGTCTGTGCAAACGTGCAATTCTGAATTTTCCTGGTGGAAACAAGGAGTAAATCACAGTGGTGGCTTTGATGTTTTTTGGGGTTGTACCGTAGTTATTAATTTGACTCATCCATGCTCTGAGCTATTTAATGTTCGCCCTGCCTCCAGTCTCTTCCCATAAATAATGAGCCTCAGGGAAGCTTAGATGGGCAAAACCTTTCAATCTAGCCACGGAGGAAAAGCAGACATGTAGCACCACTGCAGAGACCCAGACAGAAGGGGAACAGCCATGCCATGGAGGCTGGCAACTGAGCTCATGGGTATAGAACGCAGAGCAGAAGAGAACCCTTGGGAGTTCACATCTTCTGGGAGGGCAGAGGGAGAGTCTTTGGATGAATTCCTAAGTGAGTTGATCTTTCCCTCCTTTTTTTTGAGTGGCGGGAACCCTCCCCCAAACCCTTGTGCCAGACACACTCTCCTCTGCCCCTCAGAGAGGCACAGGATGTGCAGGAAAAATAATAATGGGACATAAAACACATCAAGCAGAAAATATCTTATACTTCAGCTTCAGTGGAGTGTCGTGTCTATGTTAATAGGGAAGTTGAACCTCAGGCTAAAGAAAGGATTTGTGCAGGCTGCCTCTTTGAGAAAATGTTGAGAGCTGGGGGTGGGGACATTTCTGCCTCCCCAGTCAGTGGGGCAGACAGCCCAATAGGCATTGGTTTTCTCTTTGGAGTGAGGGCTAGGGTGAGAAGAGTGCTGGTGGGTTTGATTGGGTGGGATCCAGTTCTGGTGCATGTGTTTCCATTTTGGATAAACTAGAAGATTTTTGAGAATCATTAATAAACTCCACAGCAACGAAGAGACAGATTAATATTATCTTCAGAAACAAATTTTTGAGGGGAAGGATTGTGGGGAGAAAGTGTTTAGTTAGGCACTTGGGAAGGAAGCTCAGACAATTGGTTTTACGCTCTCTTTTCCCACCAGGTACTGATTCCTAATTGCAGAGTGCTCATCACACCCCCAATTGCCCCAAGCCTTTTAACACCGAGCAACGTTTTCCTTGTCAGATACATACCAGATGCTGAATTGAAGAAATATTTTCTTTGCTCTAAGACCTGCACTATTAATATTCATTTGAGTGGCAGTGCACTCTGTCCAAAGTTACTCCCAAACTAAATATAGCGCCCTGGCAGATCTGGGAACGATTGAATGCAGTGTACTCAGAAATTCCTCTGGCTGTTTACATGCCTGGTGCCCGAAGTCTCTTGCTTGCCTCTGTCCTGGGGCAGGGTAAGGTGCTGTGTGTGTGAGCCCGGCAGCCAGGTCTGATGACTGTCATGAATGGAAGCCGAGTTCAGCACTCTGGCCAGCTCCCCACTGACCTTGTGAGGGGCTTAAACCATGTCAACTTATCTTTTTCATCCGAATCTTTGGAGCAGCTAAACCACAGAACTGAGACAAACCACTTACGTTGCAAGGTTGCCTTCCCGCAGCTTTCCTGGTTTGCAGGAGGGATTTGCAGTTGCCTCAATGCACTTTTATGCTGGAGAGTACAGCAGTGGAGTTCTCAGAGAGTCAGCAGGGAGAGGTCTCGGACACCTCACTGCTCTGATCTGGAGAATTGAGGAGGGAAGCTCACAGAGGTGATCTGCCCAAGGTCACACGGCTAGACGGTGGCTGAACTGGGCGAGGACCCAGGCCAACTTCTGCCTCCCAGTCCAGTGAAGCCTCTGGAAAGGATAGATGAAAAATAGAAATGGCCATTCAGGACACTCTTAGTGAAAGCTGGCAGTGTGGAGTGGCGTTTCTGTTAAAAAGAAAACACAGCGGCAAAGAGAGACAAGTCGGTTGGCTCAGGTGCCACTTGGGTGATTTATGCCATCTAGAAGAGGGGAGGGTGTGCTTTGCTGTCATCCCACGTACCTCATTCATCCTTGTCTTCAAATTAAGAAATGAAATGCCTCAGAGCTCAAGTATACACAGAAACAGCAAGGAGCCATTTCGAATCACAAATCCAGTGCTCTTTTAGTGGGTTGGCTTAGTGTTTTTCTGATGCGCCTGTGCTCGTTTGAGAAGCTGTGTGTTCTGACAGCCCCGAGGAGTGGACTAAAAGAGCCCAGAGAAGGATCTAAAAACCTGACCCTCAGCATTGCCTCTCTAGTACTCCCTGAAGTTGGAGAAGGCTAGCAAGCCTGGAAAAGATGGCACAGCTGCCACCGAGGGCAAACAGAGTCAGTTCACATCCACGTCCCCAAAGGCTTGGTCACCTCATCTGTGTGGGCCACGTTTCGGCAGCTCCTGTCCCCACTTCTTCCTGTTTCTCCTAGAAGAAGACTGTGTGTGTGTGGGGGGGGGGGTGTGTGTGGGTGTTGTCCTGTGCATGGCAGTATAAAGTTAGAGGTGGATCCAGAATCATTCCCCTCCCCACGGTGAAGGTCAGGGCGCCGCACGGCAGGGGGGTGAGAACGGTGGGAGCCTGAGCTAGATGCTCGCTCTCCATGTGCAGACAGGGCTCCCATTACTGCTAATGCCCGTGACGTGCTCAGGGAAGGCAAGATACACTCTGAAGGTTTATTTTCCCTCCACTGAATTGATTCTAATCCACAGTGCTGACCCCGCTTTTGGCTCCTCCGAGGAGCCGAAAGCTATAAAAGACATGTCGGCTCCCTCCATTAAGACAGCTATGTGAATGACATGCTAAATACACAACAGAAGCCAAATTAGTATCAATTTTTTTTTCCTTTTCTTGGCTGCAGCAAGTTTTCTTGGGGAAAAACATGACCCAGTGTGAGAAATTTCTGCAGATGGCATCACCATGCCCCTGCAGTGTTATCTGCTGACTCAAACCAGCTCTCTGGCCCCCACGCTGAGGGCCCGTATCAAGGAAGCGTTGTTAAGCAGTATAATTTGAAACACTTAACGCCACAGTGTATCCACGGTATCTATAATTACTTCTGCTCTGTCTGTGGATACAGATTGGCAGGAAGCAGATAAGTATAATTGTTTTCCAATTAACTCTCAAAGTCTTTTGGACTTGGCCTGTATCTGAGTCTATCTGAGGAGTGAGTTTTCCCTCTTCCCCTTCTGCCATTCTAGTCGGTTTTTTGGGATCTCATCCAGCAAGGGAACATTCTCCCCTTGAAGCATCCGACCTCTTCCTCAGCCCAATATTTACCCCCTCTCACCTCCCGTCCCTGCAGTGGGCTTCCCATGCTTCTCTCTGGCTGCATCGTTAAGAGGTGAGCCCACCAGCTGTGGTAGGAGTGCCGTGCTCTCGACCGTGACCAATCCCGGGGTACAGCTAGGAGTGGGGCGCAGCCAGGGCTGAAGTCATATACCGCATCCTGCACTCCAGTGCAATGAGAAGGGCTGCAGCCAGCAGCATGGATCCTAACTTACATTGGGGTTAAGCAACCTTTCCTGATGGGGCCTGTCGAAGCTCTCAGTAATCAGTTAACAGCCCGGACGATCTAGTGTGACTATCTCTGCATCAGTGCAATCCAGGAGAAAAAAAAAAAAAAAATATATATATATATATATAAATGAGAATGTTTGGATCTGGGGTGGGGGGGAAAGCTCTCAGCCAAGTTTGGAACATATAACAAGTTAGGTGTTGAGGCCTCTCTGCAAGGGGAGCCAGTGAGAATAGTCAGAAAGGGGAAAGATTCGTAGCTGACAGAGCTGCATCTTGCCAAATGGTTCATGCGTTTGCCAAATCTGCATTTCCTCTAAGCTTCTCCCACTAAAAATAATCATCATACCCTCAGAGCAGATAAACCTGGACGTTTTGGAGCGGGGGGTGGTGGATGCAGAGCTAAGATGCACCGAGAGGAAGGTGAGTGAAGCTCTCAGGAGGGACAAAACGGAATTTCTGTCTTCAGTTCTCTTGGGGGATGTTGTGCTTCATGAATGTTTAAACAAGGTAATCTTC